GTTGTTATTTCTTCTGTTTTTTCCACATTTTCCTCGAGTAAAGCCCCTTAATTTGACGTTACAGCTGCAGAGAGGGAGGAGTTTGGTCTGCCTCATAACTCATCCTCTTTAGCAAACAGTCCAGTCTCATCAGACTGTGACACATGTGTTCAGTTTGGCAGGAGCTAAAATTTCAGTAAAACACATCCCCTAATCTAGTAATGTAAGTGAATATATCAGCTCCAAAACCTACTTGAGGGTGTGTCCAAGCTGCCATATGCTGTGCGCTCTCAGCCCATCGGTGTTGTCCCACCAGTATCTCCTGTTCCATAGACTTCACTTTTTTAGGATATTTTTCTATGTCTAGCTCCTTTCAAAAGCAGCAGACAAGGAGCTGTAAAAGTGTACCCAAACCTTACACTTCTGAGTTTAATGCACAGAGAACAGTTGGTTTGGGTTGGTTTCTACAGCCTTAATTCTTCAGCCATGTGATAAAGGAGCCCAACTGTGGATTTTTTAAATATACACAAGTACTTTTTCAGCTCTGCTGGTTGAAAGGAAGAGTTTGGACACGAACATTAAAGGATAAAAAAAAAAATCTCAAAGGGAAGAATAAAATAAAAAAGTGCCTTTGTTATTATTTACATGACTATTTTTTCCTGGCAGAAATATTATCCATATAAAAAAAATACCCACAAGCGAAAAAACTCCTTCTAGCTGCTAATCAAACTTACAAACTGTGGGCAGTAGAGCCAGCAGAGCTCAGCAACCTGTGATACTTTCCAGTTGTTTCTATTCCTCCTTAAAAAATAAAAAAGAAAAGGGAAAAAAATGCTTTTCTGCATATCAAGTGCTCTCAAATAAAGACAGTCTTGCATGGTCAGTCCTAGGAATGCTGTAAGCCAGCCTAAATTACACAGCAACAGGCTTAGGGATGGGACTAGAGGGTTAGTTGACTTGTTTTGGCTTCTGAAAGACTTTTCCACAGTGGAGGTTAAGAAAAATATTGGTTTGTCCCAAAGCCCTAGAAAATAGGAACTGAAAATAGGAATTTCCCAGGAATGCTAGCAGTCTGGGGTGTTCCATCTCTCCTGAGAAGCTGCTTGTGCAGCTGAGAGTGCAGCTTTTCTGAGGGGAAAAGAGATGAATAAAACCATTTTTGGCTTTACCAAAGGCATCCAAATCGCAGCACCAATTTTAGAAAGGTGGTGTTAGAAAGAGGCACAGCTCAGCATGGTCTGGGATGGAGGCTTCATGTTTTGCTGATATTTTCTGATAATAATTCCAAATATAAACGAGAACATCAGGGTCT